GGCACGATTTTTCTCATTGCACACTGCAATGTGTTGACTTTGTCTGAATTAAGATGTAAAACTGCATGTCATTTTAATAGTATTTTTGATAATCTATTGTATCATCAGATATTTCATTTCATAAATTTTTATGGGTTACTATTCACATATCGTGATCTTAAGACATTTTTGATAAAGCATGCTTTCAAAATGAAATGAATGAATTTTTTCGTTACTGGATTACTATTCACAAATATCATGATCTTAAGACATTTTTGATACAGCATGCTCTCAAATTCAATCAACCAATTGATGATACAATGATGAAAACTAAGGTGTAAAACTCCATTGATATTTTTTATGTATTTAGATGAAAGGTAATGTAAAGAGTAAAAGAAATATATCTCTATCTGGTTTAAAGAATATAGATAAAAAATTAGTTAATACTATATTGAATGAAGTTGTTGATCAGGGACCAACTGTCAGTTTTAAAGATATCGGTAAGTACCATTAATATGACTATTTTTCAGCTTTTACCCAAAAGTCCACCCCTCCCCCCATTAAGTCCGTTTGCCCCATATTGGTATCCCTAGTGCTAAGGGGCTGGGACCATCACTGCTTTCAGTTCTAATAGGCAGAGGTGTACAAATCATTTAGTAGTAGGTATGGAATGAACAATAAGATAGTGAAAATATCCATAATTAAGTGATAAGTTGTCACTTTCCATGTAAAATTTCCCTCATTGTACATTGTGCATAGTGTTGCCTTTTATTGGCTTTGTTTAGGGAAGGTATAAAGTCGAGTAACCTAATTTCGTGGAAACCTATTATTCATGGATTTCTGTAAAGGATTAATAATTTACATGAGCGACCTTTGCGCGACCTTGCGCGACCTCCGCATTAGTTTGTTTTAATAAACATGGGTTTTCTGTACAATGTCAGCTAGTAGAATGAATCCAGTAGTTTCAAGCAAGGTAGAATGTATTAATGTATACTGTGACAAATACAAAATGGCGGATTTCAGTTATTACCAAACGTCACCATTTTTTATTGGCCGAATTTCCTTATAATCCCTAGCCGTAATCGGAATTCCAAGTGTCGTCTGCTAGAATGTAGTCTAACGAATGAAGTCACGTGATCAAGTAGCGGATTCCGTGTAAGCAGGAAATTTCTATGGAACACAAAGTGGACCATATTCTTATGTTGTTTCAGTGACTTTTAGCAATAAATCACGCTACGTATCTTACTTTGTCAGTCACTATTTTTTTTTTTAAATCGTGATTCTTTGAGGAATTGTCACTAGTTATAATGAATTGATATTAAAGATAAATACTAAGAGAAGTTAATTATACCACCCGGTATCCATACAAGGTGGTTTTCTAGACTTATTTATAGTTCAAACATTGTACATGAAAATAGGTGACACATTCTGCGGCCGTTACCGAGTTGGTTGCTCATGAAATATGGGTCAAAGTGAAGGATTCATTAAGAAAATCGAAACAAACCAATTTTAATTATTTTGTAGAATATCTGAGGAAACATCTAAGACATAAAAAAAAAAATTTAGTTTTTTTAACTTTGACGAAATTCAGTGTTGAATCCTTATATCCACGAAAATAGGTTACACCACTGTATAAATTTTCTGTTTATTATAGCTGGACAGGAAATAGCTAAACAAGCTTTACAAGAAATAGTTATATTACCAGCTCTTAGACCAGAGGTATGTTTCTAATTTAAAGGGATTGTAAAGAGGTTTGCTAAACTTTTTATGTACATCGGGGACACTGATAGCTTCAATTCCAATTTCCATTCCGACGTTTGTGGCTCTTGCAATTCCACTAAATCTAACGCATTTTATGGCATCACTAGGGGGAGCTACTATTAATATCTATGCAGTTCCCCTCTAGTGAAGTCATAAAAAAGAATAATTGGTCAAAAAAATGGCCTATCTGTCCCTTGTAACAATGAATTCCTGATTTGGGAGATTTTTCTAGAACAGGATATTTTATTGAATAGTTTAGTGACTTACAAATTGTAATATTGTAATAATTTTCGTAAATTACAAATAGCAAAGTAGAAACTACTCAATAGAAAGAGACAAACAACTGGATCTACATTTAAATCAGAGTGTTTATTACTATTTTAGTTATTTACTGGTTTAAGAGCTCCAGCTAGAGGCTTGTTATTATTTGGTCCACCAGGAAATGGTAAAACTATGTTGGTATGTAACTGTTATAAACTTTACTATTGTCTAAACAATGTTAAACATTTTTTGAATTTTTTCCATTAAATGCTTCACAGATGAAAATCCAAATATCTAAGCTTAGCAATGCTACAGAAACATTGAGCATTTCTAAAAATATCAACTTAAGGAGACAAAATCGTGTATGTTTTGACAGTTATTGTCTAACAGTAATGGTAAGGTGAATTATGCTTTGAGTATTAATCAATTCAAATTTTTAGATTGAATTGTTTTGATTGAATTGTTTTGTTTGTTTTTCTAGGCTAAAGCTGTGGCTAATGAATCCAATGCTGTATTTTTTAATATAAGTGCTTCAAGTTTAACTTCTAAATGGGTAAGTAATTG